TTTCAATTGCGTAGAGCTTCAAGGCCAGGCTTGCCTAAACAAATGATGTCAGACCTAGGATCGGAATAATTAAAGGGGTGGCAATAAAATACTCCCCGCCTAGAATACCCGCAAAAGTAGGTTGCCTGGCTAAGAAAATAGCAAAAGCTCAGACTAAGAGGACCCTAAACTGAGCCGGCAGAGTGAAGTTCCGCCCAAGCGCGTCAACTTATTACTACTATTACTACTGATTACTCATTGTTACTACTCATTAATTCATACTACTCATACTACGAACCGCAGACACGGCCAGAGATTTACTGTTCCCACCCCCCGGCCCAAACCCTGCCCCAAAACAACCCCAGGGGGGATTTATTAAATCGACTCCAACATTATTCTACTACTACTACTACTACTACTACTACTACTACTACTGCTGCCACAACTACTGTGACGACCACGAAGACAACGACTGATGTTGCCACTACAACGACGCTGCGAAAACTATGACGCCGACGGCTACTTCGACTTTCCGATTACTATGACTACTACGACTCCTATAACAACTGAGGCTACGACTACTGCAGCTGGCATGACCACCAGGCTACTAGTACGACGGAGCTGTCTATCGCTTGGGCCCGGGACTAATGCGCTTTTTGATTGTGATCTCTTTGTTGGCCATTGTAGTGCTTGTTGCTGGTTGTGACTGCTACTATATATGTATTTGATAATCTATGGCTGTGCCTCCACATACCACTAATTTGCTGTTCCGGGTAGGTAAATCTGTTTCTCGTGGTATCGTTGTTGTAACAACCGGTGAAGAAAAGCGAAGAAGTACTAAGAAATGATCGGCATTATTACTGTAGTGTTGCAAAGGTCATGATGACGTCGTCATGTCAGAAGTAGGGGTCGAACCAATGTGAACAGTATTGCACCACATGCCTCTTGCAGTTCGACGACGCGGGTAGTCTCAGTTTGCAGGTCTGCCATCAGGGAAAGGTGAAGTTGTAAAGCAGGAGGCTTGTCCTTGGATGTTCGATTTCCCTAGTTACTTGCCCTCCAGTCCTTGACCGTGTTGGGCACGGCAATCAGCGGCGAGGAAGACTTTGCCCCCAAAACCCTGAAGCCTGAACCCTAACGGATCTCATCTTGCTTGCGGCCAGCACGTGCCACCTGACGGGAATCAACTGTTTCAACCCACGTTGAATGGTCGAAGGGCCATGGCATGTCAGACATCTCTTCAGAGTGTTGGGTTTAGGGATCTCAGAACAACTTGGCTGTATCAGGGCATCCGTATCTGCAACACGTACTACCTAGGGTTTAAAGTTAAGCAAGTGCTTCAGAAGTCTCTGGTGCATTTTCCGTTGTCTCCACTGGCGCTGCGGGAAACGCTGCTAGCGGAATGATCTTTTGACATTCTGTTTCAAGAGCTCAAGGTGTGTTGAGCAAATCCGACATGTCGCCGTAGGCAAAACTCCGCAGAGCATCCAACTCCAGTTTCGGGTCGTCAAGCCTTTGGTAACTGCTAACGCCGCAATGCCCCACAAGACATGCACACCAAACTCTTGAACATAAAAACATACGTAGGCCCGCCCTAAATCCCAAGCCCTAGAGCCTAAGGCTCGATTGCAGCCCTGAATTGGCCAAGTCCTGAAGTCCTACAGCACCAAGGCCTTAATTCCTTGTTTTGAAAATAGTACAATGGGACCCCAAAACCCTATTCTAATCAGGCCCCTAAACCCTAAACCCCTTAAGTAGCCCTTTATAGAACCCTTTAAGGAAGCCTTTAAAGGAACCCGCAAAATCCACCCAAAACCGCAGTCTAATTATTAAGGCCCCTAAACTAGAACTGCCAAAGTCGTCCCGACCCCAGACCGTGAGCTAGCCCTAAGCCCGAAAAGAAGCAAGCCGTGACCGGCCCTGCACCCAAGTCCTCCATCTAAAACTGGGTTTAGGGTGTAGGGTCTAGGGCCCTAGGAATCAGTCTCCTTTGCAGGTTGCGAGGATGCCACGGAGTTGTTGGATTTTCTTGGGTCAGGGATTTAGGGTTTAGGGGTTTAGGAGTTTAAGGGTTTAGGGTTTAGGGTTTAGGGCTTGTGTCTAAGTCCCAACATCTTTGAGCTGTGCCACTCCTGAGCCACTCTGGCTTGGGCTGTGTGGGATTCATGCATCAACGGAAGCAGGCTCAGGTCTCAGGGGTGCGTAGGGTTGTAGGGCTTAGGGACTATAGTAACTGTAGGCTTACATGCAAGCTCCTAGGAGTTTAGGGCGGAGGCTTCAGGTTTAGGGTTTAGGGTTTAGGTTTAGGGTTTAGGGTTTAGGGTTTAGCGTCCCTAAACCCTAAACCCTAAATCGCCACTCCATGGAACTCCGGACGGCGCCCTTCGCATCGCGCTGCCATGCTTGTTGTGGGTGGTGCGCTCGTGGAGAGACGGGCAGGTGGGGATTGGTTCAGTTGGGATCTCTGATTCAAATCCTAAACCCGAAACCCTCTGATTCAAGGGTTTAGGGTTTGGGGCTCAGGGCGCATTTATGTAATGTAGGGACGTAACAAATTACCAATGCAGTTTTAGTGGCTCCTTATTACGATTATAGTATCATGGGGCCCCAAAGCCTTACTCTAATTATTAAGACCCCTACATCAGAGCTTCTATTTTTTTCGAGGAGCCCCAGCATCAACCAAGCCTCAGGTGCGACTACCCAGGCCAGCCCTTCGCTAGGGTGCGGTGCACGGGCGGCTTCAGAAGCCCAGCGGGGACGGACGGTGCAAGCCGCGCAGGGGTCCCTTGAGTGCATGAGTAGGTCAGGTGGCCTGTTTGGACTAGATCGGCGTTTTGCTCCTCAGGCCCCCAAAAACTTAAAACCCCAGTCTAAACCTAAGCTGCAAGTAAAGAGCGTCAACAACTCCAAGACGCTAGCCCAAAACCCTGCTGGCCCAAACCCTCAACTCGCAAGTATACAGTATGGTGTGCAAGCCTTACTATAGAAGCCGAACTAGTTACCAATATCATTCCTTAGGTTCCTTATTACGATTAGACTGTAAAGGAGTCAAAACCCTGTTCTAATTATTGAGGCCCCTACATTAAGCCCCTAAACCCTAAACCCTAAACCCTAAACCCTATAGGCTCCAAATCCTAAACCCTGAACGCCTGCACCTCTTAAGTCCAAAGCCTCACAGCCTGCCTGAACCCTGAGCCCTAAACCCTACACCCTAAACCCTGAACCCGAAACTCGAAACCCTAAACGGTTTAAGGTTTAGGGTTTAGGGTTTAGGGTTTAGGGTTTAGGGCCCTAAACCCCTAAAGCCCAAAGCCTCAAATGAGGTGCCTCCTTGTCGGCTTCGCCGTTGGAGTTCCTCAAAGACGGAGGTTCCAAAGAGGCCTCCAAAGGCCGGCGCGTGTCGAGCCTTCCGAGGTGGGGGATCTAGGCTTCTATTGTTATTACTATTATTATTTATTATGATTATTAATATTATTATTATTATTACTATTATTATGATTATCATTAGGGTTTAGGGTTTAGGGTTTAGGGTTTAGGGTTTAGCGTTTAGGTTTCAGGGTTCAGGGTTCAGGATTTAGGGTGTTAGTACTTTTATCACTACTGTCATCAACACCATCATCATTATTACTGCTATTGTTGCTTGTTCTTTAAATCGGATTTCGGGTTGTTTTAGGTTTCTTATGAAAGGCTTCATCGGGTCTCGACTTTTCTAGGGTAATATTTTGCGGTAGGGCTCCTTCGACGCTAAACCCTAAACCCTAAACCCTAAACCCTAAACCCTAACAAAAAAACCTAAACCACCCTTAGCCCTGACCTTAAAACCGAAACCCTAAACCCCAAGCCTGCGCATAGTTTCTTCTACAAACAAAGTCTAGGACATTTTCAGGTGGGTAGTTACCGTTATAGGTTATAGGAGCCTTATAGAAGGTCGATATACCTTATAGAAGCCTTATAGAAGCCCTACAATACCCTAAACTCCCCACTTGTAGTTTCCTTTAACACAAAGGAGGTCATAGTTTCGAGTTCAGAGCAGCCCGAGGCCACAGTGGTCCTGCAGGAGGCAGAAGACGAGGTGGTGGAGGATCGGCTTCAGCTTTAAGGGTTTAGGGTTTAGGGTCTCGGGTTTAGGGTTTAGGGTTTGCAGGAGGCAGAAGACGTGGTGAAGTTAGGGTTTAGGGTTTTAGGGTTGTAGGGTCTAGGGTGTGCAGGAGACAGAAGACGAGGTGGTGGAGGATCGGCTTCAGCAGAAGCCCTGGTTGCAAAGGCATCTGCCTCATGGGGGAGAGACATCAGAAGATCTGCTGCTCCACTTCATGCAGGCTCGCGAAGGTTTCTTTATAAGCCTCATGTGGTAACCCTTATCATTGTAGTCGCCCTTCTGGGTAGCCCATGCAGTAATTGTTATAGTACCCCCCATTGCAGGCACTTGAAGAGAGAGGTGTCCAACTCTATGAGGCCCAAGAGGAGGCCATCGTGGAAATATTCTCCGGTGCCCATGTCGTGCTGGACACACCGACGGGGAGTGGAAAGTCCCTGGTTGCGGTGGCGGCACTGTTCAAGGCGCTTGCAGAAGGCGGCAAAGCCTACTACACCTCACCAACCAAGGCGCTGACGAGCGAGAAGTTTTTCGATCTCTGCCGACACTTCGGACCCGCTTCCGTGGGCATGGCTACGGGTGATATCTCCCTGAACCAGCGAGCGCCCCTGATCTGCTGCACTGCCGAGGTTCTGGCCAGCATTTCCTTGCATGAGGGGCAGGCTTCCGGCAAAACTCCACACACTAAGTCCTAGGCCCAACCTTAAAACCCCTTGTGGATTGTCCCATCACTGCAGGCATAAACCCTAAACCGTAAGCCACCCCCCAGACCCTCACCCTAAACCCTTAAACACCAGACCCCACACCATCGGGGTCCAACAAAGCGACCCTATTGTAGAATCCTCAACTGCCATTTTGCCGGGAAGCTGCTAATCTTCAACCCTAAACCTTAAACCCTAAACCTTAAACCCTAAACCCTAAACCCTTCACCCTCAGAGGCTTCCGGTATCACCACCGTCGTTATGGACGAGTTCCACTACTTCGCCGATCCCGACCGTGGCTCTGCCTGGGAGGTGCCACTCTGGCGCATGACCGGGACTTTCTCCTCCACCACGATGCTCGACGGTTAAGGGTTTAGGGGTTAGGGGTTTAGGGTTTAGGGTTTTGGGGTTTTGGGGTTTAGGGTTTAGGGGTTTAGGGTTGAGGGTTTAGGGTTTAGGGTACTGCCTTGTTGGGGTTACCTTATAGGATCCTAAATATGAAGTTGGCTAAGCCAAAAAGAGGAAGTACAATGGAGACTGTCGGCAGTACTTTTGAGTTGTGTTCTTTTGGGAACCCTCCTTAAATATGAAGAGTAGACAAAGGGTACCCTCATCCTTGATGAACCTAGACCCTTAACCGAAAAAAACCCTAAACCTTATAAGCCCCAAGCCCTAAACTCCCTAAGCCCTATAAGCCCTACACTCCCCAAACCCTATAAGGCCTAAACAAAGAAGCCCTGAACCGATAAGCCCTAAACCCTAAACCCTAAACCGACAAGCCCTAGGTTTTTGCTGATGTCTGGGACCCTGGGCGCAAACGACAGCCTCTACCGCACCCTGCAGAGCCGCTCCGGGCGACCGGTACGCGTCGTGTCCTCCCAGGACCTTTGTATTCTAAGGGTTACTATTTGGGGATTAGGGTTTAGGGTTTAGGGGTTTAGGGGTTTAGGGGTTTAGGGTTTAGGGTTCAGGGTTTTAGGGGATTAGGGTTTTGGGGTCTAGGGGTGTAGGGGTTTAGGGTTTACGGTTTAGGGTTACTATAAATCGAAGAGTTACTCTAAGGGTTTAGGGTTCGGGGTCGCTATAAGCATAAGGGCTGCTCTAAACGTTGCTACAAGGGTTACTGCAAGGGTTGCGACAAGGGACTTTAATGGTTCACTGTCAGGTTTACTAACAAGGGTTACTCCAAGGTTGCCAAAAGATAAGGGTTGCTACAGGGGTTGCTTTAAGGTTTACCACAAGAGTTACCATGGTCTGTCGGGGTCTTTGGACCCTAGGCCCACCGAGCCTGAACCGTTTGTGTGGGCTTTGGGGGCGGCTTCCCTAAACCTAAACCCTAACCCGTAAAACCCCAAAACCCTAAAACCCTAAACCCTAAACCCTAAAGCCCTAAACCCATTCAGGACCGGCCCGTGCCCCTGCACTTCGCCTACAGCGAGGGCTCCGTGGCCGCCTCTGTTGCGCAGCTGATCCGCTCGAAGCGGCTCCCCGGTCGACATCGGGTTTCGGGCTTAGGGTTTCTAGGGGTTGAGGGGTTTAGGGGTTTTGGGGTTTAGGGGTTTAGGGGTTTAGGGTTTAGGGGTTTAGGGGTTTAGGGGTTTAGTTAAGGGTTTAGGGTTTATGGGTCTAGGGTTTAGGCCAAACCTGCAATCCATAAGCCTCAAGTTCCCTACGCCCCAAATCCTGACCCCCTTGTAGAACGCAACCTTACCATAGAGCCCTTATATCCAGGAAATTTCATGTGGGTAGTTACCGTTATAGGAGCTTCATAGAAGGTCTATATACCTTATAGAAGCCTTATAGAAGCCCTACAATTAACCCAGACCGCCTCTAGGACCCTGAATTTACGGTTTAGGGTTTAGGGTTTAGGGGTTTAGGGATTTAGGGGTTTAGGGTTTTAGGGGTTTAGGGTTCAGGGTTTAGGGGGTACCCTCATTATAGTAACACTTCTTGCACCCTTATAGGACCCTTGTTGTAGCAACCCTTCTGGCCCATGTCGTAGCAAACCTTCAAGCTAAGGTGGAAGTCTTTCAACCCTAAATCCCTGATGTTTAGGATTTAGGGTTTGGGGTTGTTAAAAGCCTTTAGCCCCCAAACCCTCAACCTTAAAATCTTTGCAGATAGAGAAGACCACGTCGAACTACGACTTTCGTTTCCAGCACTACCTTAAACCCTACAGCCTTACAGCCCTAAGCCATACGGCGACTGTGGTAGCCCTTATGGAAACCCGAACCCTGAAGCCTGAACCCTGAACCTGAATCCCCAACCTTACACCCTAAGGTCCTCGGTAGTATCAGGGAGGCCCCTTAAAGGGGACCCTTCTGAACCCTACTTCTGGCTCTCTTCAAGGGGACCTTTCTGATAGGGTCTATATCCCCAAGAATTTCCCTCATCTTAACTCCCACAGGGTCTATATCCCCAAGGGTTTCCCTCACCTAAACCCTAAACCCTAAACCCTGAACCCCTAAACCCTAAGCCCTTAACTCCCACAAGGTTTCCAGTGTACATCGTGCACTTCTCGCAGAGAGAAGCTCTCCGCACGGCTCAAGAGTTGGCGGAGGCGCAAGCCAGGGCCTGAGAAATGCGTTTTAGGGTGTAGGGTGTAGGGTTTAGGGTTTAGGGTTTAGGGTTTAGGGTGTGGGGTGTAGGGTTTAGGGGGCGCTATGGCAATGGGGTGTTTTTCGGATTCCGTTTGGATGGTGATGTTAATGGGGTTTCAGATTTTTACTGACACGGGGCTTCAGAACGGTGTAGAAGGTTTTGGTGGGGCTTTACACAGCAAATCCGGGAGCCTTAATACACCAGGCCGAGGCACTGTATAGTAAACATGTGTCGGGGTTCTAAGGGGATGATGTCAGAAATGTTCTAGACCTGTACATAGCACCATCGTGCTTAAGATTGGTACTCGTAGCAGTAGCAGCACAAGTAGGCCCGGCATAAGCCATGAAAAAAGTACGAGGTACAGTACTTGTGATTTCGGGCTTAGAGTCTTATAGTCCCTAAACCCTAAACCCTAAACCCCAAACCCTAAACCCTAAACTCTAAACCGTCATAGTTGGTGTCGCATCTAGGGTTCAAGATTTGGTTTTTGGATTTCGGATATTTCGGGTTGGTTTGGGCTTTGCGGCTGAGGGCTCTGGGTTGGTTGAGGCTTCTGCATTTGGGTGGTTGTCAAAATTATGGTCCCTTTTTGGGTCCGTAATATAATACGGCACCTAATATTTGGGGTACCCAAAAAGGGACCCTAATTTTGACAACCACCCATTTGACTAGAAGAAAGATGCCAAGCATAGGAGTGGCGATGCTGGAAGGAGGAATGTGTGAGTAGGCAGTGCTCAACATTCGCAGCCTGGTGACGAGTTAGGGTTTAGGGTTTAGGGTTTAGGGTTTCCGTCGCAATGTTAAGCACCATTCCGTATCTCGAGTCCGCGTCACCCTCAAGACCCGAAGCGCGAAGCCCGAAACTCTGAACCCCAAAGCCCTGAACTATAAACCTTAGATCTTAGATCTGAACCCCAAGCTGGAGACCCGAAATCCCACATCCTAAACCCCAAACCTTACATCATACACCCGAAACCCTAAACCCTAAACCCCAAGCCTCCTACAAGGCGTCGGACGGAGGGCTCCTTCTATCCACAGCCCTGGCGGAGGAGGGCAAGGAAGAGGCCGGCCCGGTCTAGCGAACAATTTTGTAGGGCTGAGGGTTTAGGGTTTGGGGTTTTGTAGCGTTGAGGGTTTAAGGTTTGGGGCTTTGTAGGGTTTATGGGTTTAGGGTTTATGGGTTTAGGGTTTGGGGTTTAGGGTTTAACCCTTGTTTACTGAACAAAACACTTTTCTCTCTCAGGGCGTACATGTCGGAATCCCTTTTCAGGTAGGGGAGGTTATTAATCAGGGATCTACGCTACGATCATGACCGTTTAGGGCGTTCAGCGCCTTAGAGTTCACAGGGAAGCGTTTTAAGGGGGAATGGCTTTCGGCCTGCTGAGTCATCATGTTAAGCATTAGCTAGCTGTAAGTCTTAAAGCAAATATCCTAAGCCCAGACTTCTGCCACCATTTGCCACCATAAGAACCTTGATAAACCTGATAAGAAATCTTATAAGCCACAAGAACCCTTACCCTCTAGAACCGACAAGAGACCACAGATCGTTGAACCAGCCCGAATCCTAAACCCTAAACCTCGTCGGGGGCCCGAACCCTACCTAAACCCGAAAGCCTCCATCCTCCACCCTGAATCCCAAACTCGAAACCCTAA